GGGACTCGATCCCGGGACTCCAGGATCATGACCTGAGCCGAAGGCAGTCGCTTAACCAACTGAGCCACCCAGGCGCCCGAAGCAGAGGTTTAACAGGTGGTTTCATACTTTATATATTCACTGTTAAATATATTTTTACGCTAAATTAACCTGGTCATGAGAGATGATTTTCCATATCTTCAGTTTGAACTTCTTGATTAGCCTAATCCTTTTGCCCATCTGCACTGTTTCAGCACCTCGCTGAAACCTTCACAAAGCTTCAGGTCACCCTGGTTCTGGGCACACTCCAGAAACTGTTTCATCTCCTAGTGGTATGGTCCAGACTGCTGCTGCTGCTGCAGGTATGCTGGCTGGGTTCCCTGAGGCTCCTGGTAAGTGGTCAGGCTTTGAAGGCTCAGCATTACTTCCTCCACTGAAGCTCCCAGTGATGGCATGGCCCATCCGGTGCCCAACAGCAGAGCCCACAGCCACGCCAGCTGCAGCGGTTGCCATCTGGGCCATGAGACCTGGCTGCTGGGGCGCAGCAGCAGGTGAGCCGACAGCAGCTGCTGGAGCCGCTGCTGGCACTGCTCTAGGCGCAGCTCTCATCTGAGGTGTGCAGCTCTCATCTGAGGTGCCCAGCTGGCCGGAGGTGCGGCTCCAGCTTCCACGCGCCATGGTTACTTGCAGAGCAGCTCGGCATCTAGAAGTCCGAGATTCGGCCCAGAATCCTCTTTTCATATTGTATGATGAAATATGTCAACATTGGGAAGATCTTCATAACTCAGTGAACCAGTGTCTTCCAAATGACCGGTGATGATTTAGAAAATCATGCATGAGTAAAAAAATCCATTGACCAAAGGATTGTAATGTAACAGATTGCAGAGTTGACCAAAGGATTGTAGTGTAACAGATCACAAAAAGTTTATTGATATGACTTCAAATTCCACGTTACAGCTAACATGTAAGAAACTACCGATTGTCAAGTTTTGGTGTAACATCAAAAAAGAATATCCACAATTATCTCTAAAGACTATTGGAATACTCTTCCCTTTCTAATTACATATATTCTTTGTGAGGCCAGATTTTCAGCATATGCTTCGACCAAAACAACATATAGCCACAGATTGCAGACAGAAGCAGATAGGAGAATCCAACTGTCTTCTGTTATGCCAGACATTAAAGATATTTTTTAAAATGTAAAACAATTCCTCTCCTTTCAAACTAAGCCCTTCTCTCAGTTTGCATCAGCCAAAATTCTTAGGCTAACAGACTTTATAGTGATGTGATTCATTAAGTGATGGGATTAAAAATTATATCTAAATGCAACAAGTGAAATTATGCAAAAGCAAATGTAAAGTATAACAGTTGAACATTTCTTTTGACCAAGATTGTGGACTTTTTTTTGTTTTTACTCTCTGTATAGAAATAGCAAGTGAAGCAGAATCTCCACTACCTTCCTACTCTCACCTACACAGTGAAAGCTCTATTCCAGAAGAATTGGGCAGCCCTGCTGTTGGATATATACCATCTGAGTCTGTAGCTCAAGAGCAGCCAGGGAGTCCAGATCATAGTGTACTTACTGAAGAAATGGTTTTTTCACAAGAACTGGAATCTTCTACCTCTCCTAGTAAACATGTAAGTTAATATCTATTTATCCCTTAAAACTTCTTTGGACAAAAGCCTGTCTAAAAGGTATATTATTAACAGTTGTTTTCTTTTTTTTAGCAGTTATATTCTTGCAGTTCATGACAGTGTTGACTATCACCCATACCTGTAACATACAGTATATGACATTTGAACAGGAGTAAAGATTTTCATTGAATTCTGAAGATTTATGAGTATATGAATTTTAGCTTTAGTGGCAGTTATAAAATTATATATTATTAAGTCTATTAATATTGAGGGAATAGGAACTTCTAAAATCTTTTAAGATTTTTACTTATTTATTTGACAGAGAGAGAGAGAGAGCACAAGTAGGGGGTGGGGAAGCAGCAGAGGGAGAGGGAGAAGCAGACTCCCCGCTGAGCAGGGAGCCCAACATGGGGCTCCATCCCAGGATCCTGGAATCACGACCTGAGCCGAAGCGTGAGCCGAGGGCAGACGCTTAACCGACTGAACAACCCAAGTGCCCCAGGAACTTCTAAAATCTTTAAAAGATAATTTAAGGTTGGGGCACCTGGCTTGCTCAGCAGTAGAACACGTGACTCTTTTTTTTTTTTTAAGATTTTATTTATTTGAGAGAGAGAATGAGAGAGCATGAGAGTGGGGAGGGTCCGAGGGAGAAACAGACTCACTGCTGAGCAGGGAGCCCGATGCGGGACTTGATCCCGGGACTCCAGGATCATGACCTGAGCCGAAGGCAGTCGCTTAACCAACTGAGCCACCCAGGCGCCCTAGAACACGTAACTCTTGATCTCAGGGTCATGAGTTCGAGCCCCATGTAGGGTGTAGAGATTACTTAAATAAATAAAACTTTAAAAAAAAGATAATTGAAGTTTAATTTAAAGATAATATGTAGGAACAATACAAGTTCTTATTAAAATCTGTATTCTGTCATGTAATAGAAACAAGATCTTAAACTGTAATACCATTGTGCCTATCTATAATTTCTATAATCTATAATAACTGCCCTTATAAATCAGAATAAAAGTAGTGGTTTCATCTCTTTAAAGCAGATCTGAAATGGTTATTGACTCTAAATTAGAATAATGGTCACTATTAGAATAAGGTTTTCCACATTGCCCTTAATTCTATACTTTATTAAAAAAAAAAACCTATCTGATAAAAACTTAAGCTAGAAACTTAACTGTTTTTCTTTTGAAATTTGATTTTATAAAGTATATAAAGGAGTTAGCATAATATTATTAAATATTATGTGAACAGAAACTTTGTTAAAGTCTCTCTGTCTAAAAAAAGGAATATCCTTAAATTCAGAATGGAATATCCTTTGGTAGAGTCTTTATTTTATTGTGGATATGAAGAATGAATTGCATTTCCCCTATTGAAAAATCAGTCAGATTCATGTGTGTTATGGCATCTGAAAGATTTGGGGGGAAAACATTTTTTAAACAATGATCTAATGAAGAATCTATTCTGGGCTGTGTTGCAAAATATTCCAATGCCTTGGGCGCATACCTGAAAACAGAGGTTTTAGATTATAAAAGGCTTCTAATTAAATTATCATGTTAGCAAACTCTTAGTTATTATGTGAAAATAGGGTTGTATACATAATTGTAGCATGGAATTTACAACCAAACTATGTTTTTTGACACAATCTTATTATTACTTCCTGTGAATTGATTAGATCATACCTAGCATTGTTATTGAGATTCAGAATAGCCATCACCTGATCAAACTCTAAAAATTAGTTTTCTTCCTCACAAGAAAATATGTCAAAGAAATAAAACTAGATATCTTAAAGTGGCTTTTATAATAAAAACTAATATTTATTGAGTGCTTACTTACCAAGTGTCAGCTAATAATGCTAAATGCCTTATGTGGATTATCCTCACAACAATTCTGTAGATACTGTGTTAAGCCCCACTCTGAAGCTCTGCAGGCTAGGAAACTTGCCCAAATTCACAGATATAAGAAGTGATGGTAGCTAGATATCAAAGTAGGCATTCTTACTTCCACCTGATGTCAGGGTAGAAATTACGTCCTTTGTAATACTGTCTTGTGGACAGTGTTCTTATGCTCTCTTTTCTTCCCTCTCTTTTTTCCTTCTTTCCACAAAACTAGTACATTTTTAGTATTTTTAAAGTTTTTCAGTTTTATTGAGATATAATTGACACACAGCACTGTAGAAGTTTAAGGTGTACAGCATAATGGCTTGACATGTATATATTGTGAAATACTTATTACAATAAGTTTAGTTGAAATCCCTCACTTCATAAAGTAACCAAAAAAAGTCTTTTTCTTTATAATGAGAATGTTTATGCTCCTCTCTTAGCAATTTTCACATGTACCATACAGCAGTGTTAACTATAGTCATCACATAGTACATTACATCCCTAGGACTTATGTATCTTATAACTGGAAGTTTGTACCTTTGCCCACCTTCACCCGATTCCCCCCACCTCTGGTAACCACAAATCTGATCTCTTCTTCTGTGAGTTTGGTTGTTTTTTTTTTTTTTTTAGATTCTACATATAAGTAAGATCATACAGTATTTGTCTTTCTCTGTCTGACTTATTTCTCCTAGTACAGTGCCCTCAAGGTCTATCCATGTTGCAAATGGCAGGATTTCCTTCCTTCTTTACGGCTGAATAGTATTCCCACGTGTGTGTGTGCATGCACATGGTACATACACCACATTTTCTTTATCCATTTATCTTTCAATGGAGAACTACCATATGATCCAGCAACTCCACTTCTGGGTGTATATCTGAAGGAAATTAAATTACTATGTTGAAAAGATACCTGCACCACGTTCAGAATTTTTTTAATTAAAAAAAATAAGAGGGTAAATATCACTTAAACAGTAGTCACTCCTACTTTATTATAAACATTTTTAAAAAGCATGCTTCTTTATAAGTTTTTTTCTGTAACTTTAAAAAAAAGTTGAGGTCTTATCCTTTGTATAATTTATACTGTTTTTACTTTTCATGTCACAGAGTTACTTAAAACTCTTCGTAAATATTATCTTTAACCGCTTGGTATCTCAAATGTTAAATAGATTTTACAAATGTATCACAAAACAGTTCCCACTTGGTTTTCTGTTTGAACAGTCACCTCCCAAAAGCTGCACATCCGTGTCAAAGCAGGAGTCTAGCAAAGGAAGTCATAGGACTGGAGGACAGTATCGTCTGCCTGTCAAATCCCATCAACACTGTTACAGTTGGTCTGATGAGTCATTATCTATGACACAGTCAGGTAAGACTAATAACAAGGAGTTAGCTTTCTTTGTATTATATTTGAATTCCTCTTTAATAAGCTTTGTCTATCCATCTGTTAGTATAATGTTATCCTTTGTTGCATTTGTAAAGGCTTTTTGCTTGCCAAGATTAAATCACATTTCATTGCTTTTCATTGGGAATAATTATTTCCCTTATTATACAAAATATGACAAACGGTTATAGTCTTGGGTTGCTAATGGGCAGTGTTTTATTTATCAGACATTTGTTGAATTTTTTTTCTATGTGCCAGATACTGCTTATGTGTTCCCATAGCGCTCTGTGCTTCAACTTGTTATACCAGACAGCATATAAATTGTAACCAGACTTAACCCAGTGGGTCTCCCTTACTAGCATGTAGACTCCTGGAAGGGAGTGTCTGTACCTTGTTAATAGTTGTGGCACCAGAACCTAGCAGGTACTTTTCATTGCAAATGGCAGGTACTTATTAAATGTTTCTTGAATGAATTAATGATGACCATGAGGAGAGATAGGAAGAGGTAGTGCAAGATAGTGTAAGTTTCAAAGGAGGAGGGGTAGAGAGTAGACTGCAAATGGCAGTGGGGGACATTTTCCTGTAATCCTTATGCTACTATAAAACTCTGTGCTATTAAACTGTGAAAGAATGAACAGCCTCTATTCTATAAGACTTCAATCTACAAGATTTGATCTTGGGAAACGTACATGTATAGGGAGTGCTCAGTTTATGTAGGGTTCCACGGGTAATTAATACTGTATTGAGTGTATGCCTTTTGAGCTCATTTTTAGTTTGCATTTGAGAGTAGAAATTTAATAGAAAAAATGAAAATATTATTCATATTTTGGTCTTTGATCCTTTTCTGTACCCCCTGTTTTCAGCGTTTCAAACGATGGTAAATCATGGGATTTTCCCACACCCATATTTATTCTATTTTATTTTATTTTTTATTAACATATAATTTGTATTATTTGTTTCAGGGGTACAGGTCTATGATTCATCAGTCTTACACAATTCACAGCGCTCACCATAGCACATGTCCATCACCCAGCCACCCCATCCCTCCCACCCCCCTCCACTCCAGCAACCCTCAATTTGTTTCCTGAGATTAAGAGTCTCTTATTATTTGTCTCACCCATATTTATAAATCACTCTTTTTCTTTGAATAACTGCATAATATTTCAAAGAGTAGATATACCATAACTTATTTAACCATTTCCCTAGTGATGATTATTTAGATTTTCTCAAAATAGCCAATAATGCTCTAGTGAACATCTTCATGTATATATTCTTGATGAATATTTCAGTAAGAATAAATTCTTAGAAATGGAATTACTAGGTCAACCCAGTTGAAGAATGTTGTCTACCATATTTATTTGTTGAAAATTATTATTATTTTATATATTTGCTTTCACGTACTCTGGTGAAAAGTTACAGCCAGTGGAGTAACATGTCAATAGACACAAACTTGATACTTGGAAACATGAATTCTTATCTTGTCTTTCTTACTTACTAGTGACTTTCTCCAAGTTTCTTTCCCATATTGGATAATCTTTTCCATCTGTTCCATGGAATAATATCGTAACCATCCTTGCGTGAGTTACAGACCAAGGATTAATGATAATGTTAATAAGATACTGTTTTATTGATAAAACATAATTCAAGTAAGAATGGTTTTAGAGAAATAGCTCTGAGATTTTTAAACTGTAGATGTCATCTACCTATTAATGATGACATCATATATGCAGTGTTTGTGGTCAGTTTTAATGTAGTGGAGTTGTATAATGCCTTTCTCACTTAAGTGATGGAGAGTTTGTTACTAGCCAAATTAATATAGGCCACATGTGTCAAATAATCAGAAACTTAATTTTTTGATTAGAGTATTCTGTCCATCTTGATGTGTTCAAAAAAATCGAAGTATCATTTACCTGTCCCCCCTTTCTCCCCCACTACCCAAAAAATCCCTGTAGGAGAGAATTCCATAAAGACAATAAATTTATCTAGAGATTCTCTTAGATGTTACTAATGATAACTACTATGCAATAATACTGTAATTGATCAGATATATATATAAAGTCCCATTCACGCTCATAGACTTTAATTTCTACCCTTCATTTGTATACTTTTGGTTTCTTTAGTACTCAAAAGTAGAAACATTTTCCAAGGTCTTTCATCTAAAAACTCTAAGTTTTTCATCATCCACTGTCAAGTCTTCACAACTGTAGATGATAAATATTTTTATTAGAATAATCACTGCTGGTATATGCAATTTTCAAAATATATTAATTTAAAATAATCATTTTGGGAGGGGGACAAAGTTGAAACTAAGTCTACAGGAGTATAATCGTCCTGTATATAATTTTATCAAAGTAATGGCTCAGGTTTTGGAAGCACATAAAAGCTTATCAAGCTAAAGAAGCACAGTTTTAGAAGATGCAAAGGTATGGGATTATACTTCATTTTAGAAAGATTTTAATTTTTAGGTCAGCCTGCATGCAGTCCTACTCACAATCATTATACTAGAATCATCGAGTCTCTACAAAGCCTGCCACTAAGTGTTCAGAACCTTTTAACCCTGAAATCAATTGATTATTTTTTCAGGAATTAAAAAAATAATAAGGGAGATAGTTGCTCTCTCCCCCCACCACCATTTTTAGTTTTAGACCAAAAAATATATTACCTAAAATATAGCTACATAAAATGTTGGTCTTTTGTGATTATGAATCCTACCACTATTTATTGAGCTTTTATGGTAGTTGAGGTGCTCTGCTGTGTGCTTTATTCACCTTATTTAATCTTCCCATCAATTCTAGAAATCAGTAGGGGTCAGACACCTTACTGACTACCAGTAGTAGATCCAGAGTTGAAAATGGCCTTTATTTTTATGTTATTTCGTGAGTGTTGATCAGTAAATAGTGAGCTTTGCCCATGCTAAAGGCTCAGTATCATGCTACCGCTGGTATAAGATGGGTGTAACTTTCCTGAAGTATCTTGAGTCAGTGGTATAGAAGTGACAGGAACTTAGATTTCATTATTTCTAATCCAGATATTGGATCACACTATCAAAAAAGACTATAATCCTTTTGCATTTAAATAAATTCCTTAACTAATTCTTACGCAATTTAATCTGAAGTACCTGTAACACACCTGGTTATTTATGGTACAATGTTGTAGCGTACATCTGAGTCTTCAGATCTATATACTATAGTATTTCTATTGTAATAGTATTTCTATTGCTATTAAATGTCTCACTCAACATTAGTGTGTGGAAATGATACCATTGCGTGATTTTAGGAGGAAGTGTGAGGAATAGTCATTTTTATTCTATCTAATTTCCATATGTAGTGAAATAAGCAGCATATTGATTGATTGATTGATTGGCAGGCAGCAAAGCAAGGTTTATTGAGCGATGGCAAAGTGATAGTACAAAGCTCCGGAGGAAGGAGGGGACTCGAGAGGATTGCGCTAAGCAGCATCTTTAAATGATACTATTTTCATAGCATGTGTGTGGCACTTATTATAATGAAATGTCTTTTTCATGATTTTGCTATGACTGGACACCTACTTTGTGTGTTTGTGTGTATAGGGAACTATTGGGAAGATATTAAGATTTAACTAGCTTCATTTCAGTTATTTTAAATATTTTAAGAGCTTCTAAAGAAAGGTTACAGCAGAGTATATTTCTTTTTAATTTCTCTCTTTTCCTTTTATGTGGTATTAAGACATCATCTGATGATTCACAGTCAGTTTAAAATGACAAAATTTCAGGGTGCCTGGGTGGCTCAGTTGGTTAAGCATCAGACTCTTGGTTTTCACTCAGGTCATGATCTCAGGGTCAGGAGATCGAGCCCTGCGATTGGGCGTTGCACTCAGTGGGGGACTCTGCTTGGGATTTAGTCTCTCCCTCTGCCCCTCCCCCCGCTTACACACACACACACTCTCTCTCTAAAATAAATAAATCTTTAAAAAAATAAAATGACAATTTCAGGGTGTCTGGGTGACTCAGTTAAGTATCCGACTCTTGATCTCAGCTCAGATATTGATCTCACGGTTGTGATCAGGTCCCACAGTGGGCTTCATGTTGGGCATGGAGCCTACTTTAAAAATAACAGACAAAATTTCAGTTTGATTTTAATATGACTTAAAAACTATTAACAACTAAGGGGAAGGACAGATAAATACGATTATCTTGTCATCAGGAAATAATTCCTTACAATGTCTAAATTTTACTAACCTAAAAGTTTTTCAACTTCTAGTTGCTTATCTCACCAAGACAGGGTACCTTGAGATTTATTTGCAATTTCAAATAGTACAATTAGAAAGTGAAAATAAATCGGAGGAGACCCCCCCCCGCCCAATAGAGATTTAGGGGAAAGGAAGGGGAATGTAAATCACTGAAAAAATTTTTTTCAAAGCTCAAATTCCTTAATTTTAAATGTTAGATGGACTTTAAGTTTAATATCACATTGCTTCTTTTCATTAATAATATAATCAATAGTTATTGAATTAACTATTCTTTTTTTTTAAAGATTTATTCATTTGAGAGAGAGGGAGGAAGAGGGGCTGGGACAGAGGGAGAGAGAGAGAGAATCTCAAGTAGACTCCTTGCTGAGTGTGGAGCCTGAAGCAGGGCTCAATACCAGGACCCTGAGATCATGACCTGAGCCAAAATCAAGAGTCAGACACTTAACCAACTGAGCCACCCAGGTGCCCCAAATTTAAAGTAAGTTAAAATTAAATAAGAGATTTTGTATCTCTTTCAGAAACAACATCTGACCAAAGTGACATTGAAGGTAGGATCAGAGCCCTAAAGGATGAGCTGCGGAAAAGGAAATCAGTTGTGGACCAGCTGAAGAAGGAACAGAGAAAACGGCAGAAGGAAAGATTGAAAGCCCAAGAAGCCAGTCTGATCAAACAGTTAGAGGTTAGACATAGGAGGAAGTGGGTTCACTATCAAGGCTAATGTATATGTGAAGCCTAAAATGTTTTTAATGTTAATAAAGTAATGGATTAGAATTTTTCAGTATTAGTTTGGTGCCACATTTTAACCTCTTTTTAAAAAATCTCAGGTTATCTAACCAAACTCTTGCTTAAAACATTAAATTAAATATTAAAATAATCTTATAATATCAAGTATTAAGTAAATATTAAAATCAAGTATTAAAATAAAGGGTTTTTTTCTAAATAAGAAAGATTAAGCCTATGAAAGATTGATATCCATGCCCTCTGAAGCAAAGAATCATTAGATAAATAATTATATTTTTAAAAAAGATCAATAATTCTAGCTATTGGAATTGTTACTGCCTTTTTAAAAACAACTTGTTTTTTAAGCAGAGTGATATTTCTTGCTACACAGTTTATTAATGTGACTCTTTGTACTATTTGAATGGCTCCAAAATGATAATTGTAAACTTGACTCTTCTCCCAAGCTCTAGCAACCTTCCCTGATTCTACCCCAGGCTGGAAGCCTGGTTTTGATAGCTTCCTTACTCTGTTTTCTCCTATCCATTCAGTCACCAGATCGCATTGATTCTTTTCTTTATAAATCTTCTTGCTTGTCATTTTCCATTCCAACCGCCATCACGCTGTTTGGAGCCTCATAACCTCTCTGCATAGCCACTTGAATGTCCCTGTCTCTGGTTACTTCCCTATTGCTTGCATACCTTCTGCCAGCTTCGTGTTCCTAAAATGCTACATTCATCATAGAATCAATCTAAACTTCCTGCTCCTCACAAGAATTCCTTCTCATGACATCACCAGAGAAGATCATTCAGCTTCTACCTGAACACTTCCGTTAATAGGAAATTTCAAATTTTCAAGGCAGTTGGATTTAGTGTTAGGCTCTAGGTTCTCTGAATGTTAGAAAGCTTTTTGTTATGTTTAGCCAGTATTTCTGTCTTTTTAATGGTCCTTGTTGTAGTCACACCAGATATGTGTTCCTCCTACCTTTATTAGTTTAATCATCAGATATTTAGGTGCCTATTTGTATGCCAGGAACTCAGCTAATTACTTCACACATATTCTTCATTTATCCTCAAGCAACAAGGTATGGCTTTACTGCCCCTGTCTTATAGATGGGGAAACTGAGTTTGAGGGAGATTAATGATACTCAGGGACACACAGGTCATAAATGGTAAAGCTAGGGTTTTAATGTATCTCTGATGCTAAATTTTGTACCCTTACCATTATACTGCACTGTCTTCCACATAGAAAATAGGCTGTTAACAGATGTGGAGAAAATAGACATTTACACAGGTGCATGATACAGAGATGGGAACAGGGATTATAACTTGCACAGATGTTTGGAAGTAGGAAAAGTGGCTACGGTAGAATGACCATACAGGCAAGAACATGTTGGAATGTATTGGGAAACAATACTTTATTTAAATTATTTAAAAATAAAGATCATGTTCAGGACCTTAGAATCAGACTGACAAGTTTGGACTTCCAGTCAGCAGTCTTCAGCCTGACCACCACACATTAGAATTAACTGAGGAGCTTTTTGAAAAATACAAATATTCAGGCTCACTCCCAGAGGTATTAATTGGTCTAGGGTGGGGCCCAGGATTTAAAAGCACTAGTGTAGGTAATGAGGAGCCATTGAAAATTAAATGAAATATGCTTAGATTGAAAAACGTTGCTCAAAAATGTTCATTAATGGATATGCCAGCCAGAAAGACCTCTAGAGAAGTGCCGTAGAATCCATGTCATTCAACATTTTATTAAATGGTTTACAGACAAAAGAAAGTTCTGTATTTAGGTTTTAGAATTATAGTATATGATGGAGAAATACATAAAATATAGCATTTCATATAAAATCTTTTGGATTTTATTTAATCACAGATGTAATAAATCAACTACATTCATGTAAGTAAAGCTTTCAGATCAGAATCCAGAGGAAGGTAATATGGATACTGAAAGTTGTAAAAGTAGGGATTTTAGCCCAAGTTTTAGGGATCTGTAGCAATTGAGTAGCATCCATATGTTCATTCATTCAGTCTTAATATTTATTGACAGATTTGGGGCCAGACACTGAGTAGGTATTGAACGTACAGTGTTAGACAGAACAGCTGTAGTCTCAGATAATGATGTAAAAGTGGGATTTTAGGCCAGAAAATTAAAAAATATAACAGATGAAGGGCTTCCCTTAGATTTCATCCAAATTAGAATTACACAGTAGTGATAATGGTTACAGAACAGCTGATAACATTTTTTGTAATTCTGAAATCATCATATTCTTAACCACACCCTTCCTTCTTCCTCAGGATTTGTATTCCCTAGTATTCCCAAGAAGGTGCCATTGAACTCAGCATCACGGCTAAACTTCTTAAAATTAACATGGAAGTATTAGGACAGCCTTTAAAGAATAATTACATGATCAGCTAAAAAAGTTTCTTAATGTGGCAGAGCCTGAATTATTGCTTCATTAAATTTCTGTAGAGTGGAGACTCATTTCCTAATTGATTTAGGGTTATAGTTACACATCTTGCTTATATAGAGACTATTTGAAGAAGGATCTATGAATAACTATTGATAGTGCTCTGGGGAATGACACTGGTACTGGGAGAAAGATTTTTACATCTTCTTTACTATTTGAATATTTTACCATAAAATACACTATTTTCTTATTTAAAATAGTTTTTAAAAATTCTGTATAGTGACTCCTCTGATTTTTCTAAACTTAGTCATATGATGAATTCATTAAGAAAACTGAAGCAGAGCTTAGCCGAGATTTGGAAACATCACCAACAGCCAAGCCTCAGATTAAAACGCTCTCCTCAGCTTCTGAAAAACCCAAGATCAAGCCCCTTCCATTACACAGGTAGAAATTTGTGATAACTTATCTATATTCTGCCTTGTTTGAGAAAAGTTTGTGAAAAGCATAAGGAAAGACTTTTAGTAGAGCTAAGTAATTGTGAAATTGTAGAAGTAAAAATATTGGTTAATATTTTTATTTTCACTAATTTGTTATGTATGATACAATCACAAATCACATGTATAATAAGGTACAGATTTAAAAATATATTTTGAATTCTGAAATCTGGTGGTTGCAATGAAAATAGTATCCACCAGTATTGCTGTAGTAGCATTGTCAGTTGATATAGACCTTTTGAAAAGCAGTTTGCCAGTGTTTCAAAAGTAAAAAACAATCTGTAACCTTTGACTCGGTAATTCCACTTCTGAAAACCTAGCTTGAGAAAATAAGGGCTACCAGAAGTCTCAATTTGCATGAATATGTTTCTCATAACATCCTTTATCTTAATATAACACATTGGAAGCAATCTTTATGTCCAAAAATGGGTGACTAGCCCAGTAAATTATGGTTCTTTCCAGGGATAGAATATTATCTAGCCAGTTAAGGCAAATACAGAAGATATTAAGTAATGACATTCAAGTATATAAGATAGTGTATTAAAAAGTCAAGTTGCAATATTTAAAATAAATTTTGAACAATGAGTAGGGGGTAAACAGTCAGTGGGACTGAAAATTGGGGGCATTTCAGAGAGAAGGGCACTCATGAGTGACCAAAAGCAGCAAGGAGCTTGGCATATCATAGAAACTAAGCATAATAGGATGTTCATCACTAAAGTTAGAAGAGACTGGAAGAATAAAAACCAAGTTGTGAAACCTTGAACTCACTCATTCTTAGTAGTTTCTACCTTACTTTTCAGAAGAGGTGAAGCCTTTGAAGGTTTTTAAAGAAAATATTTAGGGATTTTTTTTTTTTTGTCTGTTACAAAAGTAATGTAGACTCATTATAATTAATTTCACATTACCCGAGTTTGAATCCTGGTTTCAATACCAGCTAGCTGTTTAACTTTGTCAAGCAAGTTATTTAATCTCTCTGTGCTTCAGGTTTTTTTAATAGGGATTTATATCCTATAATAACACCTGACTAATTAACTTGTTATGAGGGTTAAAAGACTTAACTTAGAACAGAGCTTAGCATACAATTAGCACTATGTATTAGTTACTATTATTATTATTATTATTATACTGAGGGAAACAGTAAAAAGTAGAAAAGTTTAAATTATATACCCAACTACCCCAAAATTGCAAATGTCAACAATATTTCTTTTTAGGATTTCTTATGCTTAGATTTTATGTATATATTTCCACTATATTATAAACTGTAAATTTTATTTTTAGATTTCTACATAGTAGACTATTGAATGGGTTTATAGTTTTATTAATCAGGCTATTGGAAGATTTTAACAAGAGAATAACACCATCACACTTGTGTTCAGAGAGATCTTTCTGACTACTCTATGAAAGAAAGATAGAAAAGAGTAAGCTTAAAAGCAGGGAGAACAGGAGTCTAAGCCAGGCCTCAAATAATCAGTGGTAATAAGAACAGAGATAGGAGATAAATTTAGAAATATTTAAGAAGTAGGGGCACCTCGCTGGCTCAGTCAATAGAGCATGCAACTCTTGATCTCAGGGTCGCAAGTTTGAGCCCCACATTGGGGATAGAGTTTACTTTAAAAAAAAAAAAAAAGAATTTATCCTTAAAAATACTTAAAAAGGAAATATTTAAGAAGTAGACTTGACTAATTAAAGTGCTAGATAGTGAAGCAGGAGAAATCTAGAATGACTCCCAGGTTTCTCTTAAGTAGTTGGTTGGGTCAGAGTTCCATTAACCTAAATGGAAAATCAGATGTTCTTTTGTGGGGAGCTTATGATTTTGGTTTTAGAATACTAATTGTGAGATGCCCATAGTTCACCTAAGGGAAATTATCCAGGAAAGATATCAGGGTGAGATATATGAGGATGATCAGCGTAAGGACGGTGGTTGAAACCACAAATATAACAACATTGCCCAAAGAAGATATGCATTCAGAGAGAATAAAGGGGAGCCATGTACTAAATATGATAAAATAGCATTTAAAGGCATTATAAAGAGAGAAATAGAAGGCAAATACTATGACTTCACAAATAAAGAGAAGGCAAGAAAATGAAGAATGTAGCTCTTCCTGTTAAAGAATAAAAGAGGACAACAGCAGGTTGTGGAAGAATGAAGAACTGAGGGGCAAAATTTTGAGGCTCATAACATACAAGCTAAGTGGGAAAAAATCTCCAGGTTGAAGGACTAAAGATTATAGAAAAGAGAATGTATAACTGAGGGGCACCATTAATGTGGGACTGTGTGAGTTTTTAGGAAGAAAGAGGTTCAAATAATCAGTTTTGAGTAAGAGTGAAAGACACCCCTTTTTCTTTCCTGCAGACCGGAGGAAAGACTATGAATATAGATGTATTTGTAGGTGGAAAGTTTGGTGGTAAGAAAGTTCATGCTGGTGGTCTCTGTTTTCCTCCTAAAAGAAGCAAGATCATCTACTGAGAGTGATGAGGGCCAGGAATAGCCTTGATTAAAGTGACAGGGTGGGGTGCCTCCTGTGAAGGAGAAGTAGTTGTCTAAGACTTGACTGCTTTTTGTTACCAATTACTTTAGTATCAGCAGTACATTTATTTCTGCTCATTAATTTTTCTGTTTCAGATCTGAAACAGCAAAGAACTGGAAATCACTAACAGAATCAGAACGCTCCAGAGGATCATTGGAGTCCATTGCTGAACATGTTGGTATGTAAATAGAAAAAATAATTGTTCTGTGTCTAATAGACTAAGGATTTATGCAAATGCCTACACAATTCTACCTCTATACCTTTTTTATTAAAAAATAAATTTCTTAAAGATAATTATTGAAACTGTCAGTTACTTTGATATTCTAAAGTGATTTATTGGTTATATATAAATTTTGTGAATAAGTATTGTCTCAAATTTATGATAAAAAAATGAAGCATAAAGACATTAAAATGGTTGAGTGTATTATTGGCATCATTAATCAGATTTTATAACTGAGTATATATTTTTTAGCTTATACTGTTCAGGGTTAAGTGGTCATATATATTTTTTTCAGCTTAATCCAAAAAAGGTAAGAATTACTGAAAATAAAGTATAATTCAATGAGGAAATAAAACTGAGGCACAAAAAAGCCTACTTACAAGCAATGACAAAATAGAGATTTGAATTAAAAACTTTTAATTCTTGGTTTGTTAGCTCATCACATCTTTTTTTTTCTTCTGCAATTTTAGCTCTTAAAATGCTATATTTGGGGTGCCTGGGATCGAGGCCCATATTGGGCTGTGTGCTCAGCGGGGAGTCTGCTTAAGGATTGTCTCTCTCTCTCTCTTTCCCTCCCCCAACTCGAGTTCTCTCACTCTCTCTCAAATAAATAAATTGTTTTAAAATGCTGTATTTGCAGAAATAGTTTTCTTTTTTCTTGTGTTTTTTTTAACATTTGAGAGCTTAGTTGAAGTCCCCAGGAAAATTCATTCTTCTCACAGTATACATAGAAGTATATTTGTCCTTCCTTCATTGTTTTTCTGTATGAAATATGTATGTAATATCCATTGTACAGTTCTGGTTTTGCAGGCTTTGAGGATGATCATGCAAATGTCTCCATAAACTTAGAGTCATTTTTCTCCACTTTATAAGTGAAGACATTTAAGAAATTGATAAGTTAAGACAACATTTAAGAAATTATTTCAAACTTTAAATTTTCAGTCATTCTAAATGTTCTGGTTATTGTTGGTACAATATATTCTCTTAAAGGAAAAATTTACCTTGTAACCAAAACAGGTTATAGTTATTGACCAGAGTTTTTCCTCATAAAGATTTGGCTTTTATTTAGCCTTTGGTTCTAGAAGTTGAAAGATTGTAACTAAATAATTTTGATAATGATTTTTTTCTTTTCCTTTAAGATGCTGCATTGGCAGGTTCTGAGAGATCAGTATCAGAAAGGTCTTTATCTGCATATGCAAAGAGAGTGATTGAATTGGATAGACAAACAGAAGAGCATTTTCAGACTTCATCTCCAATTCTTAGCTCATCAAGGAGAACCAGAGCAGAATCTGGAGATTCTCTAGAAAATGTACCTTCATTACCTCTTCTCAAAGAATTGAATGCCCCTAATAGAATTCTGGATGTGTCAGAGGCCAAGGTTGAAGAAGACTCTAGTCAAAAATCAGAAATACAAGAAGTAGACTATACAAAACTGGAGGCAAGTGTGATTGAAGATGCCTATTCGAAACAATCTAGGAAGTCTGACGTCTTACTGAAACTAGACCTGGAACAGGGAGATTCATCTGAAATTCTTTCAAGGAAAGATCTTCCTTTAGATTCTGTAAATGTTCAGAAAGACTTAGTTAGATTAGCCATTGAAAATCTTCATAGAAAGGAGCTGAAAGAGAAAGAGTCAGATCAAGATATGGATCATAGTCCAAACATCAAATCAGAAAAAGACGTTCAGGAACAAAAGAACATAAAGGAAAGGGACTTGTCTTTGTTAGAACAGTTTTTTGCTCCTAAAGAGATAGCATACTCTGATTTTGAAGTGTCTTCTTTCAAGAAAGACGTTTCATCTGAATTGTACAAAGATGACTTCGAGGTGTCATCTTTGTTGTCACTCAGGAAAGACTCTCAGTCTTGCAGAGACGAATCACAGCCAACCAGGAACTCTACAAGTAGAGCCATTAGCTTTGGCAGTGATGATGAAATCAGTGAGTGCCTCAGTGAGAAAAGCCTTTCTGTTCGTAGCAGTGTCCACTCTGAGAGGCTGTTGGAACTCAAGTCCCCTACTGAGCTTATGAAAAGTAAGGAGCGCAGTGATGTAGAGCATGAACAGGGGGTTACGGAGTCCCCTTCCTTGGTTTCAGTTTCTGTGGCAGATGAGTTACATGATTTCCACATTGGTGATAGGGTGTTGATTGGCAATGTTCAGCCAGGAACTCTTCGATTCAAAGGTGTGACTAGTTTTGCTAAAGGATTTTGGGCTGGAGTGGAGTTGGATAAAGCTGAAGGAAATAACAATGGAACGTATGACGGCATTGTATACTTTGTGTGCAAAGAGAAGCATGGTATTTTTGCTCCTCCTCAAAAAATATCTCACATTCCAGAAAACTTTGATGACTATGTAGACATAAATGAAGATGAAGAGTCTTACTCAGATGGACAGTATCAATACTATAATCAAGAACAAAAAGCTAGAGCGGATTCCAAGTTTGATAGAGAAAAGGATGCAGTTGAATATTTTTATGAGAACTCTCTACCTAGTGTGCACGGTATAGAAGCCTCACTTGATAGAAGCCTTAAAATAGAAACAGACGACATTCAGGACATTTCTGGAGTACTTGAAGCCCATGTTCACCAGCAGTCTTCGGTGGATTCACTGATCTGTTCAAAGGAAAACAAAGACCTTGTTTCTGGTGCCACAGAAAAGGTTTCCATTGCTGTAGAAGGCGATACTTTAGATAATAACTTTTCTGAAGAGTTAAAGAAGCAACAGCAGTTTACAGAAAAGGAAGAGAACCTATATCCCGAGGTGTCGGAAAAGCTTTCTACTCCACTTCTGGATCTTTTAACAAGAGAAAAGAACCAATTGGAAGCCCAGCTGAGGTCATCACAAAGTGAGGGAAAAAAGTCAAAGCAACAGCTAGAAAAAGTTAGCTTACTGACAGACAGTTTACTAACAGTCTTTGTGAAGGACACGGTCTATCAACTACAGGAAATCAAAAAAGCTAGGAATGAGAAAATCCAGCTTAGCAATCAGGAGCTTCTTGATGATGATCAAAAGAAAGTACTGCCCCAAGCCCTATCCCCAAATCATGAGGAGCAATCATCAGGTGTTCCAGGTTGCTTCTTAAGGTCTGAATTGGAAGATGAAAAAGAAGAGATTTCTTCACCAGATATATGCCCCAGACCTGTAAGTATTTTATCTAGACAGAATGTCAATTAACCTTATCTTTGTAGTGCATTTTAATTCTGTAGCTCCTGGTAGGTTTTTTGTGACATGTTATTTATTAGATAAAAATCACTGTACTAGTTTTTAAAGGCCTTGTCACTGTTTGTCTGAAATATAATTGTCCTCTGTTATGTCATGAGTGGTCACTATAGGGTTGTCACAAACACTAGCAGCTTTATGCTGGATTGATGGCCCTTGTGTGCTGTCCACAGGTTAGAGTCCCTTCCAGATTCACTGAACAGATTTATTCCATGGAGCTTTCCATTGGTTCTCAATCCAGTTCCTTTTTTGCCTATGAAATTATTTGTCCACCTAGCTACTCAGTTACCCTGCAGATATTACCAGTTGTGATGTTGATTCTGGTAAAACTGAAATATATCCACTATGACATATACTCAGACCATCAGCTTACTTAGGTTGCCCATGGACAGTTGAACAAAAGTAACGATTTTGAGTAACTTGAGCCAGGTAATCACGAAAGGTGAGAAATTTTGTATACAATTTCCATACCCCACAGACAAGAGAGTACCTCAGAAACAAAATAATGATGATTCAAAAAGAAACAACTCATCAATAAACATTTTATAAAAATTCAATTTTAATGCTTATATAAGCATAATTATGGGAAACAGGGTATTTTTTTCTTAAATTGCTTATTAGTAGCCACCATATTGTTTTTGTTTTGCTTATAGAGAAATAATAAATATACAAATAATATATTTGCTTTGTCTTTAAAAAAAAAAAAAAACCCAAATGAGTGATCTGAGGTGACTAAATGGTGCTCTATTTCAATGGTTCCATTTCTGTAGGAGAGTCCAGTATTTGGTGCCAGTGGGCAGGAAGAACTTGCGAAGAGACTTGCTGAACTTGAGATCAGCCGGGAGTTTCTGAGCGTGTTAGGAGATGACCAAGACTGGTTTGATGAAGACTTTGGTTTGAGCTCTTCTCACAAGATCCCCAAAAATAAGGCAGAAGAAACAATTGTACCTTTAATGGCAGAACCTAAAAGAGCTCCCCAGAAGCCATGTGAAACACTATTGGCAGTTCCACATACTACAGAGGAAGTAGAAATTCTTGTACATAATGCAGCAGAAGAACTGTGGAAATGGAAAGAATTAGGTCATGATCTTCATAGCATCAGCATTCCTACAAAACTGCTTGGCTGTGCTAGTAAGGGTCTAGATATAGAAAGCACTAGTAAAAGGGTCTACAAACAGGTATGTAACATGAAAGGATAATTTTAATTTTTAAATTTTTCTCAATTGTCTGAAATTCAGATTCTTAGCCATTTTGTTTTATTTTTCTCTATCAAGGCGGTTTTTGATTTAACAAAAGAGATTTTTGAGGAAATATTTGCGGAGGATCCCAACTTAAATCAACCTGTCTGGATGAAGCCATGTAGAATCAACTCCAGTTATTTCCGACGAGTGAAAAATCCAAATAACCTTGATGAAATCAAGGTAAACTCAAACTAGAGAGTATCTCCTTTTTTGACTTGCTGTTCATGTATGCAGATCTATAAATGCCATAAAAGCAGGTACTCTTCTGTATTATTCACCCTCTGTCCCCAAGGCCTGTCACATAGTGGGTATTCAATAAATGTTTGTTGAGTCACAGAAACCATGAGCAGTGGAGGGATGGGGGAGAGGGAATCCTGAATCCTCAGGATTTTGCAAAGCATAATTTTAACAGTCATTTCCTATATTTACATAATTTATAATACTTAAAAAATTAGGAAATAGAGAAGTTACTGCGATTCATTGGGAATTTTAGGTAAATTTTTGGCAATTTAGAGATAGGTATTCTAGAAGTACACCTGAAAACATGTCATCTATCAAACATGCCAGCCCAAGACAGGTGTTACCTTTTCATCTTTGATTTTGCAGGTTTCAAATTAGTAATGTGGTTTTGAAGTATGTGAGATAGTAATATGATATATAAAGTATCTTGTTATCTAAGAAGCCTCTGAAAAGATTAAGTGCCCTGAGGCTACAGTGACTCCCAGCAAAACTTCAGTCACATTGGTGGAAATCTCTGCCTGTTCACATGTTTCTTTAATATAGCAAAGGTTATATTTCCAGTGCAGTACCTCTCAAACTGTAATGTATTGAATATGAATCATCTGGGGATTTTGTTAAAATGGAGATTGTTACAGGTCTGGAGTAGGACCTGAGAGTCTGCATTTTTAACAGGCTCCTTAGTGAGGAGGATGCTCTTGACCCTAGAACCACTCTGAGTAGCAAGGCTCTGGAGTTGTGTTTTCCAGACTTTATTTGATTATAGAAAGCTAATTTTTCCTACAGATAGCATACCTCCAACTATAGTCGATCCTTGAACATTGTCAGCGGTTAGGGATGTCAACCCCCTACTCAACTGAAAATCTTTAGATACTAATAGCCTACCAGAAAGCTTACAGATAACGTAGTTAACACATATTTTGTATGTTATTCTTACAATAAAGTAAGCTAGAGAAAAGAAATGTTATTAAGAAAATCTTAAGAGAAAATACATTTATGGTACTGTTATGTATTCATTGAAAAAAATCCGTGTATAAGTGGACCCACACAGTTCAAACCCATGTTGTTCAGGGGTCAACTGTACTCATCTTACTGGTGTATTTTCTTACAGTCATCGAGGAGTGTATGTGGACTTATTAAAATACAGTAAAGAACATATACAATATTCTGGTATATAATGTGGAGGCATTGCCTAAACAATTTAGTCTTTTTTCATTAAAATATAGTTAACATATAACATTATATTAGTTTCAGGTGTACGACATAATGATTCGATATTTGTATATATTGTGAAAAGATCACCACAAGTCTAGTTAACATCCATCATCACATATAGTTACAAATTTTTTTGTATAATGAAAAATTTTAAGATCTGCTCTCTTAGCAACTTTCAAATATACAATACAGTATTCACTATAGAGAGCTTTAGAAAATATTTTGTACTCATAGAACACCAACAGATGTCTATGAGATGCAGTATATGCTTACATCGAAGTTACGCAAACTGTGGCCCACAGGCCAAATGCAGCCTACCACCTGTTTTTATAAATTAAGTTTTATTGGACCACAGGCACACCCATTTGTTTAAATATTGTCTATGGCTGCCTTCCTGCTGTAACAGCAGAGTTGAGTAGTTGTGACAGAGACCACGTGGCCCACAAAGCCTAAAATTGTTATAGTTTGGCCCTTTACTGAAGTTTGCAGACCCCTGCTTAAATTGAAGTAAGTAGTACCAAAAAAAAAAAGTTTCCAGAGATTAATTTGATTCATTAAAAAAAATAACTTTAAAATGATTTTCAACTTTGAAGAATAGAGTATCAGAACCACCTGCGGAGCTTTTTCAAAACACAGGTGTACTCCATTTCTTTCAGCCCTCCGAAGTTGATACATCCTTGAGAGAGAGAGAGAGAGAGAGTGGTGGTAGAGTTTGGGGACATACTGGTTTGAAAATCTTCTCAAATGATTCTGATTCATAAATGTATCTTTTCCCCCATTAAGAACATTGTTTTTTTGTTTGTTTTATTTTATTTTATTATGTAATGTTAATCACCATACACCATTACTTTTTGTAGTGTTCCATGATTCATTGTTTGCATATAACACCCAGTGCTCCATTCAATACGTGCCCTCTTTAATAAACAGGCTAACCCATCTCCCCACCCCCTCCCCTCTAGAACCCTCAGTTTGTTTCTCAGAGTCCATAGTCTCTCATGGTTCGTCTCCCCCTCCGATTCCCCCCCTTCATTTTTCTCTTCCTACTATCTTCTTTTTTTTTTTTAACATATAATGTATTATTTTCAGAGGTACAGGTCTGTGATTTAACAGTCTTGCACAATTCACAGTGCTCACCATAGCACATACCCTCCCCAGTGTCTGTCACCCAGCCACCCCATCCCTCCCACCCCCCACCACTCCAGCAACCTTCAGTTTGTTTCCTGAGATTAAGAATTCCTCATATCAGTGAGATCATATGATACATGTCTTTTTCTCTGATTGACTTATTTCACTTAGCATAATACCTTCCAGTTCTATCCACATCGCTGCAAATGGCAAGATTTCGGGGGTTTGATGGCTGCATAATATTCCATTGTATATACCTACCACATCTTCTTTATCCATTCATCTGTTGATGGACATCTTGGTTCTTTCCATAGTTTGGCTATTGTGGACATTGCTGCTATAAACATTGGGGTGCACACCCCTTCAGATCACTCATTGTTTTTTAACAGAACAACCATAAAAAGTAGTAAAAACCCAAATTATTTTATTAATAACAAAGAATAAGTTGAAATAAGACAAGATACATAATATATATCAACAATCATCCGAATGCATATATCAATATAACACACAATGATGCTGCCCACCAATTTCAATATTGAAATAGCATTTTGTAAAGTTTTTAAGGGTAATAGTTTAGGGCGCCTGGGTGGCTCAGTTGGTTAAGCGACTGCCTTCGACTCAGGTCATGATCCTGGAGTCCCGGGATCGAGTCTCGCATCGGGCTCCCTGCTCGGCAGGGAGTCTGCTTCTCCCTCTGACCCAACTCTCTCTCTCTCTCTCTCTATCTCATTCTCTCAAATAAAAAAAAAAAAGGGTAATAGTTTAAATATTGTTAATAAAATTATCATGCTTTTTATACTGAAGTGTTGATTAATATTTTTTAATTCAACATTTTCAGTCATGGTGCTTCAAAATAAACTGTCCTAGCCAAAGCCTGTACTTGGCTCACATGGCATTGCTTCCAACATTTATATGGGATTTTTCAGATGCAGAGATTTATTTTATGCTTCCTTTAGTAGTTTTGCCAGCTGGAAGTTAGCTGATGGTGGTTCTTGGGTAGAGGGGACTCTAAAGTGATTTTTCTTTGCAGATTCATCAATGGGTTTTACTTTTGTGTGTGTGTAAAAACAAAAATTCTTTAAGTGAATAAAGTCTGAGCATTTGGAATGCTTTTGTCTTCAAAATGCTAAGTGGAACTGTAAGTGGAAGAAATTCGTATGATCTTTTATTATAAATACCATATTATTAGGATAAATCTGCATTGTAAGCACTAAATCTCAGGAACTTGGTTGTTTGTTTCATTCCCTTCTCTTATTTTCACAGAACTTCATAGCCACAGAAGTACTCAAGTTGTTTAGTCTTAAAAAGGAACCAAACCACAAAACAGATTGGCAGAAAATGATGAAATTTGGAAGAAAGAAAAGAGATCGAGTGGATCATATCCTGGTCAGTGCATATAACTGAAATATTTTTATTTTAACTGTCTCTTCTAAAATCAGAATGTAATTAGAGTCTAAAAAGAAAGGGAAGGGGCATCTGGGTGGCTCAGTAGATTAAGTGTCTGTCTTGGTTTCGTCTCAGGTCATGATCTCGAGGTTGTGGGGTTGAGCCCAGTGTCAGGCTCTGCTCAGTGTGGAGTCTGCTTCACATTCTCTCTCCCTCTCCTTCTCATTTACCCTCTCTCTCTCTCAAATAAATAAATGAAATCTTTTTTAAGAAAAGGGAATATAGGGGCACCTGGGTGGCTCAGTCGTTAAGCGTCTGCCTTCAGCTCAGGTCATGAAACCCCGGTCCTGGGGTCAAGCCCCGCATCGAGCTCCCTGCTTCTCCCTCTCCCACTCCCCCTGCTTGTGTTCCCTCTCTCACTGTATCTATTTCTGTCAAATGAATAAATAAAATCTTAAAAAAAAAAAAAAGAAAAGAATATAATTGATCTTAAGTCTATGATAGTAAAGCCTTAAATTCTTCATTTGCTGCATTTCTGCCCCTCAGTTTTGGAACTTGCTTTCTTTTGAACTTGGTAGATGAATATTTAACTTAACAGTATTTTGTGGGTGTGGAGAACTTGAGAAATAAAAAGCTGAGTGGAAGCAAAGTTTAAGGTACCAAATTAAAAAGAGACCAGTGTAGATTCTGGGGCCAGATGGCCTGAGTTTAAATCTCTTTTCTGTCACATCCCTGGTTTGTAATCTTGGACAAATTGTCTAACCTCTTTATTTCTCTTTTCCCTGTCTGCAGTCTACCAATACAGTTATTAAGTTATTAAATGAGTGTTTATATATGTATATGTAGAAGAATTCCCTGTATATAACTCAGTAAATACTAATTGTTATCATTTTGTCATCATTATTATTATCCAGAGCTTTAGCTGGGTAGGATTTATTCCATTTTGCGATACATTTCTCTAGCATTAGAAAAATGTTTATCAAGGTGTCTTGGCCCCGTGGGTTAAGCATCTGACTTTTGATCTCAACTCAGGTCTTAATCTCAGGGTTGTAAGTTCAAACCCTGCATTGGGCTCCATGCTGGACATGGAGCCTACTTTAAAAAAAAAAAAAAAGAATTTGTCAAACAAAAAAAGGAGTAAAAAAAAAGGTCTTTTATCCTTTTATTTCTTCTGTAAAAGAGCGTTAAGTAATAGCAAACTTTACGAAACTCATTACTTGATTCAGGTTTATCTCTAAACATTTTCATTCTGGACTTTCCTGTTTATATTTATATTCATATAATGAAAAACAAGTGTAATACTTAATCAGTTTTCCCCAAGTATATGCCTTTCCATTGCTTCATTTGCTCAGTAACAGCTATACTTAGTAGATAAACATTTATTTAGTGTTTATAGCTTGCCATTCTTTTTCATGCCTTTTTCATGCATGAAGAGTGGCAAACTGTAAAACATAGTGATTATATGAGGTAGGAAGGACTCATGTTATTCTGTTTTATAAATGAGGAAGTTTAGAGTCAAAGATATTAAATTACTTGTCCAGCAAATGAGAGCCAAGATTTTAACCAACTCGTTCTTCATAGATTTTTGCATCTCAAGAATGTGAACTTATTCTCATATTTCAACAAGATTTTATTTATTTGAGAGAGAGCATAAGTGGTGGGGGTGGGGGATGGGCAGGAGAGGGAGAAGCAGACTCCCCACTGAGCGTGGAGCCCAACTCGGGGCTCGATCCCAGGACCGTGGGATCAGATCATGACCTGAGCTGAAGGCAGACACTTCAACTGAGCCACCCAGGTGCCCCTCAAATAAATAAAATCTTAAAAAAAAAAAAAAAAGATGAAGAAAGCGTGTCAGAAACATTCATTTATCCTTGTATCGGTTAAATTGATCACATCCTCTATAAATCATCTCAGTGTATACATTTGAGTCAAGAACTGTGCTAATTAAGGACTGACGTGACAGTAGTAAGCAAGACAGGCATAGAGCCTGTTTGCAGCCAGAAACTAGCCATTGATATGTAATTTACACATGTGTAATTCTAAATTAAATGATAAAAATAGAGGAGTAGGGAGCTGTTGTAAAAGAATAAACCAGAGGAAACTGACCTAATGAGGATGGTCAGGGCAGGCTTCCCTGAGGAAGTGACATTTGAGCTGAGATCTTAAAGATGAATAAGCATCACCTGAGTTCTAAGATAGAAGAACAATTCAGGGGGAGCAAACCACATTTGCCAGACCTGAAATGAGGAGAAACATGGGTTTGAGCAGAAATGTTAGTGGTTGGAGGTGACATAAGATAAAAGTGGAGAGGTAGAGTCTATATCCTCCAGTGCTTTGTAAGCCATGTTAAGGATTTTGGATCTTATTGTAAAAGCAAGAAGTTTAAGCAAGAGAAATTACAAGACCAGATTTGCAGTTTTACAAATGCTGGGAGAGTGCGGCACCTCGGTTAAGCATCCGACTCTTGATTTCAGCTCAGGTCATGATCTCAGAGTTGGGGGATCGAGCCCCGTGTCAGGCTCCCCACTCAGCCGGGAGTCTGCTTGATATTCTCTCTCTCCCTCTGCCCCTCCCCCCCAAATAATAAATAAATAAATCTCTCTCTCTCTTTTTTTAAGATTTTATTTATTTATTTGACAGAGAGACACAGCGAGAGAGGGAACACAGGCAGGGGGAGTGGGAGAGGGAGAAGCAGGCTTCCTGCCGAGCAGGGAGCCCGATGCGGGGCTCGATCCCAGGACCCTGGGATCATGACCCGAGCCGAAGGCAAGCACTTAACGACTGAGCCACCCAGGCACCCCTAAATAAATAAATCTTAAAATATATATATATATAGTTATCTACTGAGAGAATGCTTCAAAAGAACCAAGTGTGTGGAGGAAAAAAGACCAGCTAGAAGGATATAGCCTCTAGAGCGAAGGTGGCTGTTGTTTATTAAAGCAAAGCTTCTTAGCTAAATTTTTCTTGAGCACATGTCAAAGTAAATGAGGAAGCTAGCATCATGTGCCAGTTCAAAATGACACAGAGAGTGAAGGCGTACTACATATAGCCTCCAGCTAGTTACAGACAGCTTTTACTTAACATGGTTATAAAAATGTCATCTTAATAGTGAAAGGATTAAATACATTGGAAGGGGACACAACGATATGGGGGCATCTTCAGACTTGAATTATTAATCAGAAATGAAAAGTAATGTATCTCACAAGTGAACAGTAAGCAAATTGATTTGTGGCTCTTTATTAGACGTACTAAAAAAACAAGATACTGTCCTTGGATGGCAGAGGCTTCCAACAGTGCCAAATAGGATCACTTACACAGAAACATCTCTCTCTCTAGCAGTTCTCGGAAAATTCTCAAATAGCAAACAAAAATTTCTTTTGCTCGTATAAGATTATTATAGTTTGGGTGAGGGTGACGTCTGTGTTTAACAATTCAAGAGATTTAGGAGTTGGGAAATAGTAACATATATATATATATATATATATGTATAATGTGAATATCCCCTTTACTGGTCATAAAATACTTTTCACCTTCCTACAGAGAGACCTGGGCCTATGTAACTTGTTTCAAGAGTTCGCTCTTCTTCCCCCCCCCACTCTTCTTAATATGTAGCTAAATGGTACTGTTAGCTCCTTGAGTTAATTATTAAGAAATGCTATATAAACTTCTCTCCCACAATTAGATTTAGCCAACCTAGCATTTGGAGATTCTAATATTTTTGCATTTTAGAGAGATTGAGATTCAAAACAACAATTCTTTTAAAAGGTTTATTTATTTGTTTTAGAGAGAGTGCGCACATGCACGCGCAAGTGTGGGAGGAGGGCCAGAGGCAGAGGGAGAGAGAAATTTAAGCAGATGCCATGCTGAGCACTGAGCCTGTCGCAGGGCTCGATCTCATGACCCTGAGATCATGACCTGAGCCGAAACCAAGAGCCAGCCGCTTAACTAATTGTGCCACCCAGGCACCCCTCAAAACAACAATATTTAATAATATGTGAACCAAAAATTCTTCCCTTAGTACAAAAGAAAAATCATGTTTATTATAATCATGCTCATTTTAGAAAATTTAGAAAACACTGATAAATCAAAAGAATATCATGATAATCTCATCATCTAGATAACTTAATATTGTGATGTATGGTCTTAGAGTCTTTTTATAAAAAGAATTTTTTTAAACAAATGAGATCATCGTCTCTTTTTTGTGATCTGATTCTTTTTACTTAATAAAATGAACTATTTCTTTCTTGTCAGTAAATGTTCCTCTATTTTATATCACTTTTAATAACTTTATACCATTTTATTTTCCTGTAAATATAGTAATCCATTGAATGGATGTACCATTATTTAACCAGTCAATATTTTTTTTTGCTCTTTTAAACAGTGTTGTAATAAACATCTTGCAGTATGAGATTTTTATACTTATTTCCAATAATTTCCTTAGGATAAACTCCTAGAAATAGAATCGCTGATTAAAAGTGTATGCAGAATGTTAAGGCTTTTGTATGTGTTGTCAAATTGTTCTCCAAAAAAGTTGTGCCAATTATACATACTCACCAACATGATACAAGAGTGGAGGTTCCTGCCTTTGTCAGTACTAGCTGTTACCAATTTTTAAATCTTTACCAAAAGAATGAGCTCATTTTGCGCTATAATTTTATTATTAATATGGTTAATTTTTTACCTCTTTATTGGCTATTCTAAATCTTTTGCATGCTTAGTATATGTGCTGCCGAAGTGAGCACTCTTTTGCATGTTTAATCATTAAATATTTCAAAATTAGAAAATAGTACACAAACCATTGTTTCTGAATCCCCCTTTCATTTAGTCCAGTTTCCATCTTCCTAAAATATGTACTTGAGTATTTCATTAATCTCACTAACTTAATGTAAGCTCTGTCTTTGTCTGCAGATGTTTTTATTTCAGCTCTTACTCTTGAATTATAGTTTACTTAAGTTTTGAATTCCAGGATGATAGTTCTTTTACTTCAGCAATTTGAAGGT